ATACATAACACATGGAATCTTTCAGTTTCTAATCTTTTAAAGTTTCATCATTCGATTCACAATTAAAAAGTTCAATCATTTAGTAGTCTTTTGAAATTGTTTACAATTTATTCTCAACCAGTTATAATTTACCATATCATAGTTTATTGCCGTTTATTATTAACGTTCGGTTTATGTCGCTATTTCATTCGTATTTTAGCGTCTACACATAGTATTGACCTGAGACTTGTGTCGTTCGAAAAAAAAAATTAAAGGTTACATCGATTTCTATAAAAGAATATACTATTATATGATAAAAATCTCCATGCTCAAATAGCTCCTGTCTGGTACACTCCTGAAAAGTGTTATATATGGATTTAGAGCAAATTTTGCTCTAGAAAACGTACTATGTCACTTTGTGCCCAAATTTTGCATTAACGAGATAGGATAATGGATATTTTAACTTTATTTACAGTGTCGTTATATTGAATTAGCTATTTTTTGCATGAATATTATGAATCTCTAATTTCTTTAACATTAGAATTTGTAGCGAATCATTTGTTATTTTAGTAAGTACATCGATTTTGAAGAACTCGATATAAACGTGTCACATATACGATGGAATCACCCATATATATATGTCAGTTTTGCTTAAATGATGACATCTATTGTAGTTGAACGATTTGTATATCTGAAACATAGTTATTTTTCAGAATTAAATTTCGAATGTGAAAAATTGAGGAAATAGTCATTGTTCTATTTTTTGCCGCAAAATGAATGACTCATCAAATTTAACCATGTAAAAATTAAATTGAGATCGCAAATCTTACTTCATTCAATAGACACAAAAATTTGTAATTATAAGTTTGTGAAAGGAAATGTCGACTGGACTCAACAATATCCAGAAATATTCTTCTAAACATAAGAAAAACTAATTTCGTAGATAAATAATTGTTTCAAAGTTTAGTCAATCATAGTTTTTCTTTTATTGTGCTGTCGATCAACTTAAATAAAAGAAATAATGCTGCGCAATAAATGTTTGTTGACAAAATTGAATTCGAAGGTTGACTAAATAGTATTTGTCGTGCTTCCATTAACAAGAAATGGCTACCCACTTAAAGTGGATACTTTTAATGTGCAGATTGACAAAGAATGCAATTCTTCTTATCAAAAAGAAAACGGCGAGGTAAACATTTACATTCGCATCGTTTTGATGTTGAATGGGAGAAGGGCAAAGTACAAGGAGATTGTGCAATGACTCTTGATGAATACATCTAATGGACCCTGGATGCCAATTTTGTGAATTGAACTTTTTGCGCAGCTTAGAGAGATTTAATCATTTTCTTTGAGCATTCGTTACTTCGCTGATATGATTCTTTCAATTGTAATCGCTGTCGGATGCATAAAATTTTCTATTTTCGTGTGTAAAAACTGAAGAAGTTACGTGGAAAAATGCAATAATCTTTGGCACTGATGATTTGTGAAATCTAAAATTAATAGATCTTGAGCTTGACTTGACGTCCAAAAGCTCTCGCTTGTATCTTAATTTATTTTTATCACAGCGTTGTTTCGCATGATTTTGAGTACAAAATGGCAACTGAATTCATCTATTTTCTCCACATTTGCATCTGTATTTGTTTGAACTATCGAACATGTATCCAATATACTATTGTCGCTATGCGACGGTACCATTTTCAATCATAGAAAAGATTTGATTGACTGCATTTCACTTTCATACACTCATGCACAACTTTTCATACAAAATACGAAAAAATGGTTGAATAGCAACGAGCAAAAAAGAATATTTACACAAAAGAACAGGCATGAAATTTAAACAATGCAAGTGGGTTGCTATTGTGTTGATTGAGTGCCAAGAAAGGTATAAATACAGGAGTAAATTATGTCTTCGAGCATACGTTGGTGGCAGAACATTCAAAAAGGAAAGGTAAGCTTTATTTGTTTGAATTCACACTAAAAAAATTGTGTTGTATGTTTGTGTCGTGATTTATCGTTGTAAAATGTATAGAAGATGATAAATGTATCATCCTATATTTTGTCGTTCTATACGTATATACATAGTTCAATCATCATTCTGTATGACGTGCATAGTTACTGCTAGTTCCTGAGCTCGACTAGTGAAACTAAGGATTTCTTATTTCCATAATTGTAATTGAATTTGAAATTAATAATGGTATGTCTTCAAATGACATCAACAGATGAACACGACGAGAATTAAGTTCTAACCACATATAAAAAAATGTGCCGTTTGATACGCCCAGTACTTCAGTTTGCGACATCGTAGATTGAGTGACGAACAGAGACACATTTTTCTTGGGTGTGGTCGTGTCACACATGTAAGAAAGTAATTAGTAATAAAGATTCATTATAAAAAGAACTTATTTTAATGAATCAAAGCATATTGTTGGTAGACGTGTAGCGTACAATATAATGCATGTTTTTCTTTATGTGAATTTCACTGTTGTTTGTTCGTCAGTAGTCACAAGTTGTTTTTGACTGTCGATCGATCGAAACATCAGTTTTTAAAGTCATCATCAGAAAGACTCGTATTTTGCATGACTGAGAACTATTTCTCTATATAAACTTTCAGAAGTTCGATCTAATAGCTTCGATGATGACGTTGGGAGAATATTGTTGTAAACGATTGTTTGATCTGCCTTTTATTTTTATTTCTTTTAAGCTAATCATAATTGTCTGAGTCGCGCATTAGATAGAAAATAGTGTGAGTGATCGCATGTTAGTTTTTCTTTTCTTCCACATAGACGTCCACACTCATACCTTTAAATGCGATGATGGGTCACTCCGTCATCAAAATTACAAATTTTTGTTACACTGTCATTTCTAATTCATCTGGATCATACATTAAACATTTCTTTTTGATTCAGAGAATATTTTAAAATGTTCTTCCTTTCTGTAAAAATAGTAGAAGCAAAATATGTGCACATACCTATGCTACCTCAATCACTACAGACAGACATAATCGAATATGCTGAATACTGTGGCACTATTTATTTGTTTCGGTTGTTATTTTTGAGTCTATAGAAGTTATTTGTGAAGAATTCGATTTTAATAATGTACCAAGAGTACAATGATACTTGTGAAGATTTTATATCTATATTATTGAAGTTCAATGTTCTAAAATATTCTCAAAACATTAATTTCAATGTTACATAAATATGAAATATCTCTTGACGTTCTTGCAGTCCTTTGGATATATCAAGGCATTTCATTTATAAATCGAGTTTCGTATATCGTTTCTAGCTTATCTTAAAAGTATGAACTACAACAATATAGAAATCAGACTGCTACCAATTCGACTATGCTGTTTTGACGTCACTGAAATCGAATTTTTCACAAGCATTTCGTACAAACTCAAGAATAAAACCCGAGGAAAATAAATATTGCCACAATACTCAGCATACTCGATGATTTCTGTCTGTAGTGATTGATGCAGCATAGATAGGCGCACGTATTTTTCTTGTAGTATGTTGACAGACAGAAAGAAAACTTTGAAAGTTGCTTTACATTAAAAAAAAATACTGTATAATGTATTATTTCAGTGAATCAGAAATGAAAGTGGCATAAAAATTTGTGAAGTATATTGTCCGAAATAGCTTTTGACTATTGACGAGAGAACGTTCACAAGTGTCCGGTTTGCGTTTTAATCGAAACAATGTGCATCAAGTCGATCCTAATGAGTTATGCATATGCTTAGACAATTTCGTACTTGTAGTTTTAGACGGTGAAAACATAGAATTTTTTATTTTAGACGGTGAAAACATAGAATTTTTATTGCATTTTTTAGCAGAAACTCTGTGGTTCTCCTCAAGTCACTAACAATTTGAATTTTGAATTTTTCGCTTGAAACATTGCATAGATAGGATTCTAAATGAGAATAGTATTTATTGTGAAAGTTTTAACCGTTTATGTTGTTCCCATTTTGAAATATAAATATTAAAAGATAGATCTGTCTATATGAACGATGTATGATATCTCAGGATAGGAACAATGGAAAGAGTTCAAACTTTTGGTGATCTGAGGACGACCACACAGTTTTACTAAAAGAGACAATAAAAATCCTATATCTCCGCATCACAAAGTAATGGGCACGAACTTTCTAAAGGATATGTATAACTCATTAGGATCGACATAATTCAGTCTTGATTCAAAAACGATCGAATACTTGGAAATCTTTTCTTGTGAGTAACCGTTATAGCATTTAATGATCCAGTGGGCCTTCCTAAATTTAATACAGATATTTATTGTCCTTACAAACTCAAAGCTGTAGTCCTCTAGTTACTTTCTTTTTGGAGCAATTCAACTTACAACAAAGTCCATTGTATTATTGCATCGATAATAGTTTCTGGTGATGCATAGCTTAGTTAAAATTTAGACCATAATATGTTTGTGAAAGGGTAATACGACTACATTCAGTTTTTCTTCATCACGGAGTCTTATTTAATGAAAATAGGATCTTTTTTTTCAAAATATACTTTGACTAGCAGTTTTCATGACCGAGGAATCCGAAACTCGGTAAAATTTTTCGAAATTTTAGAGATGCACTTTGTTATGTTTTATAATCTCAAGATGTACGCTGCTAGTCAAGTTTTCTAAAAGAGCGCTGTTGTTTCAAAATAGACCTTGCTTGACGAACCACATAAATTCGAATCGCATTGCCCTAAAAGACATATACTTAATTTGTACTAAATTATATATTACGGGAAAAAGTTAAACTTCATATGAACAGTTGAGTAGCCTTTTGAGTGTTAATATTAACGAAGGGCATGAGTGTGGAGATGTGGACGCTGATGTGGTGACTGTCATTTTAGGTCTTCTCTCAGTCCACACCGACATCCACATCCTTGAGAGTAATTTTGTTCTAAAGAATGTTTTATATCATAATTATTTTTCGAAAAATGTTTAGTCTCATGTATTGTTTGTCATTGAAGGCACATTTTACGATCCTAACTTGAAACAATTGGTTATTAATAACAAAATTCATCATGGAACACATTGATGCTGCTAAATTGACAGATGTTCGCTATCGATTCGACTATGTGTCGAAATTTCTCAATTTCACCAAGACCGATATTGGCTTGCTCAATACAATTGCACCAAAAATGGTACCAATTGTACCAACAGCAGTAGATGCAGTCTACACCAAGCTCTTTTCTTTTGACATTACCAAGAGCGTCTTTGCCAAGCACAAGGTGAACTTCCAAGGAAATGCTACGAGTACTCCTGACAGTCTCGATTTAACTCCAGAACGAGTTACTTTTCTTAAAGAAATGTTGGGCACATACTTGAAAAAGGTTTTAACACAACAAGAATGGGACAATGCATTTCTCGAATATTTATCTCATCTTGGAAAAGTACATGCGAACAAAGCTGATTCAAAAAATATTAATGTTAGTTATATCCACATGAATGCAACAATGGGTCTCGCCGAAAACCTTTTCATTGATGCACTTTTGAATTCTGATCTTGGTTTAGATGACAAGACAAAATACGCAGCTGTGGCGGCATTGAACAAGTTCTTCTGGATCCAAAATGATCTTTTTACAATGCATTATATCTCATAAGAAGTTTTGTCATCCGTTCTTCTACAAATCATAGACATCAACGTAATCATCAGCTTTAATTTAGGGCATTAAATGTCACTGAACTACTTAGTATTTTTTTCATTGTAGTGAACTTTTTCTTAGTATTTCTCCGTTCTATCGTACTTTGTCGTAGTATTTCATGTAGCTTGATTAACATATATTTTAATAAATTGTATTGAAACAAAACTTTTTGACAGTCAGTTTAGACATAGAAATGAAATGGTATAATAAATCTCTTTCTGAATTTGTCATAGAGGATCTGTTAGAATAATTTATTGTCACACGAATATGGCACATTATATATAAGATATCTCTGTTATGCTGCAATGTGATTTGCTCACGCTGATCTCAGAAATCATACAATAGGTGGAATGAATGATTGCAAAGTTTGAAATACACAATTTTCGAGCTTGCGAACACACTTCGATCATTTGAAACTCATCGAAATGTCGAAAACTCAAAGTGTGCAACACCTATCGAAAAAATACTTTCGACGGTTCAACGTAATTGCAGAAGCTCAAAATTTATCAGAACTACGTGTAATCGCTAAGAGAAAATCTATCGGAAAACTAACATTGCCTACTCGACATAACTTAAAATACTTAAACTTCTTTAAAGTCGAAATTGTGAGAGATTCTTTATTGCCATTCATTGATACTGTCGAAATTATTTATACTCGAGGTACCTTCTTGGATTTTTAGAAAAATAATTACTTACGATAAGTATCGCCGGCTTCGAAATCGGATATATAGCGCAGCACATTTTTTTGATCTTTCTTTTATAATTTTGATCACCTCTCGAAGAATTCTTCGATGGCATCGACGTTCCATATCAAATGTTCGGGTTGGCATTGTTCAGTGATTGAGAACTCTCCAAAAGATGAAATATTTTCATTTCTATAGATCCAATGGGAGGCGCAGATCAACGCTTCGCAATATCCATAGACTGATACTTTGGGTAGATATTAGAAAAAAAAACATTTTTTGTATTAAATACATTAATAATTTGAGTCTGATTGATCGACTGAACTCATGTTTATTCGAAAGGACAATCAAAATGATATGAAATTCTCCATTGTTTGCTTGCTGTTAAGAGAGATAATAAGCGTGCCAGCGTTCTTCATCGTTGAATAGATAATCAAATACATTTGAGATAGAGACGTTGACGCTTCAATTTCAGTTTTTTTCCTGCATCATAGAATTGTATTGCTTATAAATCCGTTACTTCAACAAAATTAATGATCGTTTCTATTTTCTGTAGCGATATTTAACACAATATTCTCCGACATATATGATACTTCTATATTAATATTTCTCTCGATAAGGTTCAATAAATTGTGAAATTCTTCTTCTGCATGTGTTCACTTGTCGATACACACCTTTGAGATGTGATGATCGATCAAAATGGTTTCTTTTTTTATAAAACATTTCGATTCTGTTGATATTGTAAGATAAGAAAATGTGTACATATTGATGTTGCTTAAAGAAAATCGTAATGATAGATCAAGAAAATTAAAAGCATATTCTAAATGAGAAAAAATTAACGGCAAGTTGTGAAGACTTACGTTAGTAAGAACAAGATTTTTGTGATTCTGAGACGAAAACCAATGCTTTTTCGTTTTAGTTGAAATCGTAGATTTTATTTTAAAAAAATCTAACAAGGAAGAAAAAAAGTGCAAGACCCTCGAACTTTTCAAAGAATGGTATATTCACCTCTACAAATTTCAAAAACAAATATTTCTGACATCCTCCACTTTGTTTTTTCATCGCCCTATCCATGCATGAGGGCATGCAATGATTGGTTAAATTCAATTGAAGAAAAAATATATATATGAAAAAATTCTTTCAATCAGACTAATACAAGCAACAAAAAAAGAAATATTCTTTGCTTTGTCCTATATTAATAAAAAACCTATTTTATTAAATGCATTTAATATGATATTATTCTTCAACAATTATTTAAATGAAAGATACTATATCCTTTATCAATGCTTTAATAATGAAAAGTTTTATTTATTTATTTTATTGTTTTTTTTTGTGCATTCCAATCTCAACTGAGATTCTCACGTCAACTGTGACACTGGAACTTGTTTTGTGTCTAATAACCATCTTTATGGATACATACTTAGATAAAAGATAAGCCAAAAGTTTCAGTACTTCATAGGAAAACTTCATTTTCTCCTTTATTACAAATCCAAAAATACTCAAAATCGGACACATTATCTCTTGGAACTAGATGAATATTATCCTAAATTTTCATAACTATAGACCTTATTATAGGGAATATACTCAAATTAGATAGATGATTTTTCTAGCAGGCCGTAATATAATTTTTATTCATAAAAAGCATCTAGAATATTGAATTGTTTTCATAAATACAATAGGAACTAATGCAATAATTTATATTTTCATACTTTGTTATAATCTTGTTTGTTTTTCGATCAAATAGTGTAATCTTCTTGGAATTGAATTTATTCATTTTGAGCAAATTTGCGGAGTGATAGTGTTTCATATCGCTGCGATTCTTCTTTTTAACATTGCTAAAGTTTCAAGTTCCTGCTTATATTTTTGAGATATTGATAGTTAGTAAAAGTGAGAAAATACAAAAAAAGAAAGTGTGGAAAAGAAAGTTTTTGCAAGAAAATTGCAAAAAATCTTTGAAAATAGACGAGGGAAAACCACCATACATTTATACCTAGTCAATCAGAGATGAAAACATTTAAAAATATATACTGTTAGTATTTAATTAATTTTCCAATATAATTGCATTTAACAGCACTCTCCCAATATTTGTTCATTTTAATCTCTATTTTTTGTTTTTGTTTTCATATAAGTATTCAGTATTTAAATTATATTACGGTCTATGAGAAAAACCGTTTCTATTGTTCGAATTTATGCATATTTCTTATAATAAAGACAATAGTTATGAAAATTTAGGATAATACTCATGTAGTTGCCACAGATTATATGACCAATTTTGAGCATTTTTGGATTTGTAATTAAAGAAGAAAATGAAATTTTCCTACGAAGTACTGAAACTGTTGGCTCATCCTTTAGATTGGAGACCAATGGTCTTGATTTCAATAAAGTTCCGTCCATGTTGTTGTGTCATTCTCATAGAATTGGTCCGTGGACTAGATGGCTTCAGGCTAACTCTGTAACAAGAGAAATAAAAAATTGAATCTCTTAACAGACTAATCTTGTACAAACAGCACAATATATAGGAAACAGCGACGGAGAAGAAGACAACTAGAAAAAGGGAAAATGAGTAAGGATTTGAGGGCTAACTATCTGTAAGAGTTAATCAGTAGCTTTGGTATGAATATCCTTCTTTCACACAGTTCATTCAACTTGCTTACATAATATTAGAATGATGAATAAAAAAGATCATACCTATCTCTTTTAATACTATCAATTAATACTATAACTAATGTCGGCGCCAGAAGTAGATGGAGAAAACTCAAGGAGGAATATCTCCTGAACGGATGCAGCTAGCGACCTGCGATTTCCACCATTAGAACGAAAAGACCCAGGGGCATCCACACACGGTAAAATATAATTGGTCAGCAATGAACCAATCAGATGCATTCTCGATGGAAATGTTGAGCACGGTATTCTGGAGCTGTTTCTCAACTTTGCTCGATTGTTAATTTACATTTTTGATAGAAAAAATTGTTCTCTTTCGGTCTACGAAAAGCCCGCCTTTCTAGCTTGTTCCGTTCCAGAGTTATAAGCGTTTTCCTTC